AGAGATTCTTTCGTACGCAGCACGTTATCTTAATATAACATTATAACAGGTTTTCCACTATACTGCGGCTCTAGAGTGTCACCAGTGTCCTGTGCGGTCAATCACTACTAGTCGACCCGGCTCTCCCCAGGCAGGGCTCCGTTTTATCAAGAACGCAAAACAAAAAGTGTTTTCTTGCTGAAAGACATTTTGACTTGCTGTCAGTATTTATTGTGGAGTACACCAAGATACAATTTGCTTCTGTGTTCACGCCTAGAGTACGTGGTAGCTCCGTTTTCGCGCGCATTGCGCACGTCACAACTTGGGCTCTGAATACAAACTCCTAATATAAAGATTTATCAACTCCGTTTATTAGGCTACTCTCAGTTACAGTTTTACTCTCATTCGGGAATCTGCCAGCCATGGCCCACAACTACAACCTCCAGCAGCTCCGCCACTTTGACTTCAGCGCCGTCATGGAGGCGACCACCGACGAGTCCAAGGCAGTCGCGTGGGCCATGGAGGTGGGGCTGCTGGAGCGGTCGATGCTCTGCCCTCAGTGCGCTCAGCCCATGCGGCTGAACGCGCCCAAGCGCTACTGGCGGTGCTGCAGGAAGACCCGCCACGCCGATGGGAAGCAAGAGCAGTTTAGCATCTTCGTGAACTCTTGGTTCTCGAAGATGAAGCTCGAGCTTTCCCAGGCGTTGCGGCTGATGTTTGCGTGGTGCATGCGAACACCCCAGCCCCAAGCAGCGCACATGGCCAACGTCAGCGAGAATACGGCGTCAGCATGGTACGCTGCATGCCGCGTCCTCTGCTCCAAAGAGCTTTTGAGTGGCGAGTTCAAGATAAGTTTACTGTTGTGCTGCTAAACCGTTTTTGCTCTAATTTCATATGTTTACTGTATAGATTGGAGGTGAAAGGCACATTGTCGAGATAGATGAAACAAGCCTATAGAAAAAGTCAAAGTACGGCCGCGGACGCACCTATCAAGAATTTTGGCTTTTGACAGGGCGGTGGTTCGGCCGCGTCGTGTACGACAAGCGTACGAAGGCCACTCTGCTGCCGATTATCAAGAAGTTCATCAGACCTCGGTGAGTACCGTAAACCTCTATTACTAAGTGTGCTTTTTTTCTACTAGGACTCGGATTCACTCGGACATGTTTGCTTCCTACGTGGCTGAGCGTGGTTCACAAGTGCATACGCTCGCCAACAACCGCACGTTAGTGAGTATGCACTACGAGCACAGTTGGGTGAATCACACTCTCCATTTTGTGGACCCTGTCTCTGGTACACGTACGAACACCATTGAGGGGTTGTGGGAAATGCATATCAAACGTCACATCAAGGAGATGAGCGGCTGGAGTAAGAATTACCCGGATGGCTACATCGACGAGTACATGTGGAGGTCGTGGTTTTTTTTTCCAACGAGGGCCTCTCCCGGTGAGTTCATGTGCGGACTCGTACAGGCTGTGCAGCGGCACCCACAGCAGGAGGAGTAAGAGTACCTGTGTCGAGAGTTGAAGCAAATATTTTTTAAAATAAAGTGCTTTTTGTTTTTCATTCTTCAAAAAGCAGAGCTCCGAAAAACGGAGCTCTGCTTGGGGAGAGCCGTCGACCCATAATGTCCCGAAAATCGGACGGGGATTCCAAGGATCATCGGACGAGTCTGCCCGAGAATCATCTAGAGATACAGAAAAGTTGTCACCAGCTTACCGATTCCTGGTTAGCAACGGGGTCTTTGACGGATATGGTCCCCAGTAGGTAACATTTCCGTATTGGGCAAACCTTGGAAGGCCTGTCAATAACCATAAAACTACTCCCCACAAACGCAGCGTTATCTACCTTTACCAACATGCTAAGCAGCTCCATTCCTTTCCGGACCTGTTGAAGGCGCTCTACCCTGTCTACTAGCGTCATCGTCGAAGAAGAAGAAGAGATAAATGGAAGTGTTCACCACAAGCTCAACGCTTTCGTGATACCCCGACATCATACTGGAGAGGCAACACTGCAGGTCTGCATGCAACCATTCATGCGGGGCCTCTTGAACCCTGCCAAGCATGGAGGCGTCTTGCCCAAAAGCGCCGAAAATATGTTAAACTAGGACGCTCGCCTGGCTGGAAGCCAGGACGAGCCGAGCGTTCCAAGCTCTGCATCTATGCATACGTCGAGAAGA